GTTATGACAATGGAATTTGTGCAGTATATGTGTACAAATTTCCGAATAACCGAGCCTGGTTTGGTATAGAAATAGACGGTGGCAAAATTAGACTTAAGCCTTAAAATTCGGTTTTTCAAGCCGAATTAGTTGCTATCATATTTGTTCTTAAATAGATTTATAAACCCCCGACTGTAAAATGTATTAATATATATATACAGACTTATTATCTGGCTTGGAAGCACTAGCAGATGCTGAAAGCACTAATGTTTCGGTCTCATATATAAAAGATCTCCTTGTAAAAGGTGAGGAGATACATGTAGTGAAAAGGAACTGGGTGAAAGCCTATATTGGTGTTATTGGCAATGAGAGGGCCGGCATACTGTCCAAAAAGCCTGCAATGGGTAATGTCGGGGATGGGCTCGATATTCAGGCATAAAAAAGAATTGTTATTGGTAAAATCAAGGATTCCTATATTATTGCTGGAAAGAGAAATAGAGCATTTCAGGAAAAAGGAAAGATTATTTGTTGAACTTTGAACTTTCTAAAAATAAGAGAATGATATGTGATTTTGATTGCAATCAAATATTACTAGCACCGGCGCTTTTCGGCGTACCTTAAAAAGATTCAGTTTGCAAAATAATAGCCTTTGTAGCTTTTATAGTGTTGAAGGCAGTTCACGACATTTCTTCGAAGACTGCGCGCTACTATTGCGACATATTAGGGGAAAACATGGTAGCATAAAGGAATTCTCTTGCCGCAGGAAAAAGTTTAGATTTGCAAAAGATTTGATTAATTTTATAAATGGCAACAGTTTTATGTTTCACAGCACAGATGCACAGCACAGATACATCTGCACTAAGCACAGATGTATTTTTGGTTTAATCTGTGTTGGGTGTGCTGTGTTAACCATGAGGCCGATTATTATTGGCCTGGAGGGTTGCAGCACATTCGTATATTACATTATAGCTGTATTTTCTGCCTCTAACCCTTTGCGGCGCACTATACGTTAACGTCGGAATTTCAACAAAAAAAGTTGTATGCAGTGTATTTAGTCCTAAAGGACTATACAGGTAAAATTTTGTAAAAATTGCATTTACCGTTTTAATTCTGTGGGTGTTCCATGAGGTGGAACACTGCGCCGCCAGAGCTTTTAAAAGTGCGACTAAGCGAGCATTGCAGTGAAGCACGAAAATGAGTAGAAGCGTTTGTATAAGAATGAAAAAACTCTGTATTATGGCTGTATACATGGTTTCCTGGATATACACAATATTCTTGAATATATACAGATAAATGAGATAAATATCTATATACACAAGTCCTTCCTATATACAAAAATATTTACAAATTTTCCTATTTCTTAGCTTCGTTCTTCTTCTTTCTTTCGTGAAATTGTTCAAAGCAAATCGCACCTTTTTGATGGAAGCACAAACCAACTACGATTAAAATAATTAACTATGATTAATATTAACAATAAAGAAAAATAATCCCATAATATATACATACACGAAAAATATCTATACAATTATTGAAAATAAACGGGAATGAGATTAAAAAGCGACAGCAAAAAATGCGCACAGGTCTAAGTAAAGATGAGTCAAGCTACTAATAATATTTCCGCCTAAAAAAAAAAAAACTACTCCCAAAAAATTCGAGATGCCATTATTAGAGCTTTCATAACGCAAAACACACCTCACCCCTCAATGCTGCTTTGTTTGAATTCATTCCCTCCCCCAAAAAAATCAACGGAAACAGAAAACGAAAACAACGGATGTTCTCTCCTAAGCACAGATGTTCTGATTCGTAACAGCATGAGATCGCTAAAGGCGCAGTGTTCCCGCTAATGGAACACCCGGTTTTATTCAATGATTTTGCGTATGGTTTTTGTATGAAAGATTAAAAAATATATATAGAACAAATAATTTGGAGTACAGCCAGCAAAATTATGCCTAATTTTTCCCCCAAATAAAATTTTTTATATCATTAAAAAAATAGAGAAAATTACTTGAAAAAAAGTAGATTTTAATAACACATAATAAATGAAAATTCTGTGTCTCCTTGTGATATGCTGCTATCTACTGTTTAAAAAGAAAAGTTCAACGTATATTATAAAGGCATTTTTATCTATTTACGGTTGAATTTAAAGGTTTCAGAAGCGATTCAATTTGGGTGTTCCATGTAGTGGAACACTGAGCCGCAAAGGGCTAATCCGACAAACAAACATGCGTATTGTAGTTGGCCCTCAAAATTGCGCTATAAACATTAGTCTGGTCATACGAGTAAAAGCAAAGAGAGCATTATTCTTTTATAATACTGGATATTTGACAAGCTATGCGGAGAAACCGGTGATCTCTTTCTATCTCAATTTCCAAATACAAACCACACTCATGCAAACTGTCGTCGATTATGTACAAAAGGGATCGATGATTTATTCAGATTGTTAGCGAGCATATAAAACAGAGAAACTTAAAAAAGCAGGTGTTTATAATCGTGTTTCAAAATAAAATACAGCAGTTCAGAATATCATTTGATCAAGTGAAATGTTTATTTAATATAGGTATTTATTATAATGAACATACAGTATAATTTTTGTCATGACACTTGGTATCATCATAATATACTATTTTTGAAGGGCAATTTGTTTTTCGGCCAAATTCTAAAGGCGATAATATCCAAACACGTGTTGCCAACACAGGGCAACGAATAGGGGTAATTTAATTATGTGATGCATGAAAGAAAACAGGTTAGAGACATTTTACTGTGAACCATCAATTTTATTCATTGATTATAACACAAACTTTTGAAAGAATGTGGCGCTCTGTTAACTGGCGGAATAAAAGATGATGCATGCATCGCTGTCATCATGAGTCTTATCTTTGTGGAATTGATGTGGCAAATTTCTTTGGGTCGAGGAAATCCTTCTGTTGTGATACTAAAAACAATTTCGGAAACATGGTAACCATAAAAAGTTTGTTATAAGTAAATATGGCTATAATCCTGACACCAGTTTGGCTTTTAAAAATTACGGAACATTATAATAAGGAAGTACTCGTTTTTCTGTACACTGCCATTATTTCTCTCTTCACAATTTATAAAGATGGTGCCGTATACGGAAGGTTTCTTTCCATTTGTCGGGCTATATCATCTCTCAAAACAGTTACGTTAGCACGGCTGTCTGCAATCATGCGACAATGAGATTCATATATTTCCTCTTCATCATACAGTCCGCGATTCCTAGCATTCAGCGGCAATATTTGTTGAACACCGGCAGCTGAGTTTTTTGTTTTCTCTAACTGATACTCATTCGTTTGATTTTTATTACCTTTACGTAGAGTCTTTTACATAGACGAAATTTCCCTAGTAACCGTAAATGTCCTCCCCTGCTCTACTCCAGCACAATTTATAATTATTGTTCCCTTGCGTCTTTTCTCACTGCCTCCTGTTTTTTCATCAGCTCCAATCATGGGTCTTGACTCCTCACCTTCCTCTCTTTGATACCTCATACAGATCTTAAACTCTTCTACACACTTTCTGCGCAGTCTTCACTTTTATGGCGCTCAGGACAGCACTCTTCAAATTTTCTTTATTCGCTGTTTGGAGAGATTGTTATATATCAGAATCTCTAATAGCTTCCGAAAAATATTGGATATTTTATGTGTCTTTAATTTCCTGATCGTAATAGGAAATGCCATTTCAGTCAATCTTTGATTTCAGAGTTTAGTTCTTGAAGATTACTTTCTGCTCTGTGTGCTCTGTATCTTACGCTGCAATCGATGATAATACAATTTCTCGTAATTCTCGTAATTCGAGAAAGTTTTCTCCAAACCACAATTATAAGCGTTAAAAATGATAGCTCGAGCCCGGTTCAAATCCTAGCGAATGGGATGGCAGCATGAAAACTGCCATAATTTTCCTCATGTATAAAGTGAATACCAGCTAGTTTCTCTTTAAATGTCATCGATTAAATCCTTTTTTTCCAGGGAGATAGCTCTTGTGTGCTTCGCCATGACCAAATTAAACATGAACCGAGGCTAATTTTCACATCGTCCGTTTCCGTTTCGTTGTCATCCTTACCACTACATTCATCATTGTAATTTTTATTTTTCTCCAGATATAAGCTGCTAATGATTTCTTTGTCACTCAAACTTTGAGATTTTCGTTCTCTTTTCTATCCAGTTTCTATCTTCGTTATCCATTTCGAAAATCATCTTGAGTGGTCATCATTATAACCTTTGAAACATATTTATGGATTAACTGGCAGTAAGTGTGCTTTTTAATCTTTAATGCATGAAAACCATACCTTTTACCTAATGCATGATATGGAGGACAAATTATATTGATAAGAGTACATTTTCGTATGTTTCTTTATTTTTACGATGCTTTCTTTAATTGGCTGACAGCTCGCTTCGCACAGATCTCGCTTGATACAAGCCCAAGTAATACAGATTCTACGATTACATGCATGTATTTTAAGGCCTGCAACTTACTGTCGATTTCTTGAACCCGATCTCTCTGGCTTCTTGCCTGTCTTCTGAGTCTGATTGACTTGTTAACGTCTCAGATTCTTGAATTTACATATACCGTTCTTGCAAAGAGGGAAACGTATTTTCAAGTTTCTCTTTCAAGTACTTAACATGCATAAAAATCTCTTGATATATATGTATATGTGTGTGTGTACTCTAAACCGAAAATTTGAAAGATTTTTTAAAGTTATCAAATAAGTAATAAAATTTCAGAAAATTTTGAAATTAGTATCCTTATTATATGAATATTTACTAGAGTTATTCACCAGATTGCCAACTGATTCTTCCGATTTTACAAGCTATTCAGAATAAAAGGTATGCAAACATCCCGGCTAGAAATAAATATACACCAAATTCACAAAAGTGTCTGATCTTTTACAGGGGCTAAAAGTAAATTTGCTTTCACTTAATTGTCAGTACCCTAATTGTGGTTCATAACATTACTGTGAAAATTTAACATTACGAATTTTTTATCATGATAGTTAATTATTATTTCAGAAGCGGAGAAGAAGGAATATACCCAGATTTAACAAGGTTCTGCAAAAGCAGATTGAAAGAAGTATCTCCGAATAGTAAGTTCGTGCAGCCTTTGGTAAAAATATCTAGCTATGCAGATCTCTCTAAAGAAGAAAGTGACAGAATTCAAAAGGACATGCAGGTAAATTTTGTCTTGGAAACAGTGTATTTATTAATGAAACGATTAATATCATGACAATCTACCTTTGAATCTTTTGAATGCGATTTTCGCTATTTGGGTAGGCTCTGGGAATCGTTCTGTACAACTACACACACTAAAATCTCATATTCTTCATTACACCTATTTAACCTTTCGAAGATGCTCGAAACTCAGTAGCACACGTCAGCTCCGGATTTAGCGAAAGCTGATTAGCCATGTGCTGTCAAAAAAAGAAAAAAGAGAAAAAAAGTTAAGTACTTTGAGATTAAAGATCATTATTAAAAAAATAATAAGTGCCGAAAGCAAAAAACTGTAACCTAGTTTTACCAATTTCAACTCAATGACATTTTCAAGTTTTCTTATAAATATTTTTCTTTAATGTCCCTTTCATTTTTTTTTCCATTCAAATCTCAGAAAAAGAAAGGCAAGTGAGGCATTTGCTACTTGTGAACGATTAGGAGCAGCACTAAATTAGCTACTACAAATCAGAAATTTGTTTAAAAAAATTATGTTTTTTAACTTTCAGCTCTGAGATACTTCAAAAAGCACATTTTAAAACAACATATTTAATTATTTTTTTATGCTGTGTTTCATTCTGGATGCTACATGGCCTACTGCCTTGTTTTGTTAATAATCTTTCCCAGCCACCTATTCGGTCAGCACTACATTCTTCAGTTAAGATGAATTTATAGATTTATGTGACAGAATCACAACTGATGCAATTGAACTTGTTTATGCAAATGAAATCAGGCTTCTTTAATATATTGAGTCTGGGAAAAGTTCATGGCGTTTTTTCGGATAGATGGCATCAATGGCAATTGAAATGAAATGCAGCGACACCGCTAAATCCTCGTTGAAAAGATGATTCTTCGAGCGTAACCATGAGTGTATGAACATCGAAAGTGGTACACTGGATGAAATGTTGTGATGTTGAGTGTGTTTGACAGTGGAGAAAATTAAGGGAAAATTGCGCTATATTTTGCAGTATTATTACTACAAAGGGCAGAACGCTGCGCAGGCTTGTGAAAAAATTTGCGCTGTGTAACGGTGAAGGTACCTCATAAAATCTTGTGCGCAGATATGTTTCGCTTGCTTTCACTTTGGTAATTTTGACATAAAAGATGAGTCACGCTCTGGTCATCGAATCACTGGAAAGCTGATGAAATTCATGAAATATTCAATCTAGATAAGCACATCAGCAATGCTAACATTAGAATGGAGCTGAGCATTGACCACGAATCTGTTTTGAACCATTTACACAAAGCTGGCTACAAAACGCATTAGCCACGATTCCATCATGAGCTACTTTACAATACAGAATACTACAGGCAATTAATTCTCAACTCTACTGTGAACAACTAAAGAGGTTACGCTAAGGAATTGAAAGAAATCGACCCGAACTGAATAATAGGAAAGGTGTTGTCTTCCATCATGACAGCGGCCGACCACACTCTTCTTTGATACCCGTCAAAAACTGCGCGAGCTTGAATTGGAATTTAAGATGAATCCACCGTATAGTCCAGACATAGAACCATCGTACTATCACTTGTTCCGATCTCTGAAGAAACTTCCTATAAAAACACTTCCGAAATCTCTCATGGGAATTTGGCTGGTTTGAAAGAGACCTGCGAAAACCACTTGACGCAGTTTTTCATCCGTAAACCACAAAAGTTCTTCCTTGATTGCACCATGGCTCTACCCGAAAGATAGCGAAATATTGTCAATAATAATGGGGCATATTTGGTTTAATAATTCTATTTTCCGCAATAAGAAAACTATTTAAATTTTACTCCAAAAGCGCCAGGGACTTTTTCCGAGACCCAATATATATTTCTGGTATAATTTCCATTTAGTTGCAAAAAAAGAACTAAGAAAAATTTTATTATTATAAGCAATTCAGCTGAATAAATAACAATTTATTAGCTTATTCTATAACTTTCCTTTATGTTAATTTAAACATTTATTATGAATTAGATTTATACTGACACTTCTCTCTTCCGTTTCCCTACTTCAAATTAGTTTAAGGTATTTAAGCCGAAACTGTTGAATTGTATGCCGAAATTGTAATACAGGGCGTGTTTCTGCCTTTCGAGGCTACGTTACTACTAGGGTTTTCTGGTAGTTGAGTTAAAATTTCATCCATCCACTTTGTATTATAGTGCCGACAATTAAATACTTATGATGCAGGTTACATTTGTCAGCCAACTTAGTATTAAAACTGAATTGTGTAGTCTTTGATTACTAGCTTAATTTTAAATTTGAATTTGCCGTTACTTTAAATTACATCGCCGAAAGTGGTTGGATGAATTGTAACTACTAGTCGTGGATTTATATTCCAGTTCAGATTTAATAAAAAAGGTCTGTTTTAAAACCCTCTTAAGACTCTATAGCCTTAAGACTGTTACTTCCGACTTCTTAAGACTCTATCTAGATATAGCTATAATTCGCTTAACGTCTGTTAGAGTTTGATTTTAGGTTATGCTACCAAAGCAAGCCAAACTTTATACTGGCGCCGAACCAAAATCTTGGACTGTGGCTTAACGCAACGCAACTTTCAGCCTGCCCTCCCAGCATCACAGGCTCCATCAGCAGCAATAAGTTCCATAGAAGGATTGGGATTTATCGTAGATACGATGCGTATATCAACGAAACCGGCAGTCACCTTCCATGGTGGAAATTCTGTAATGATGAACTTTTCATAACAACTGGATTCGCATTTCTTGCTTTAACTAGTTGAGGAAATAGAAGAGGTTACCAAAGCTACCGCCGGACAGGCATTGAGCTGATGCAAGAGCATCGGCAAATTTTTGTTGAGTGAAACTTCGAAGTGTTTAAAACTACCCTGGTAAAAGCATTTCCCGTGGTGAAAGATATGGCTAAACTAGAGGCAGAACTGTTTAGTAGATACCAAATTAAGGTCGAAAAACTGACTGAATTTATATTGAGAAAATAATAAATAACTGGTAAGTTTATCGTATGGAAAAAGAAATCAATGTAGATGAGAGCATCCGAATTATGCCGCTTAGGTTATTGCTGCAAACCAATGATTTTTTTTTTTTTTTTTTTTTTTTTTTTTTTTTTTTTTTTTTTTTTGACTGAGTAACCCGAGCGCGCTCGTGAACTTATTTGAAGCTCATGATAAAGTTTGACAGTAGGAGGGTTTCAGAAAATCTGCGTACATTATAAAATAGCCAAAAGCCGAGCGGACAGTTTTGCAGGATTGTAGCGGAAGGTAAGCCAAGGTTTGACGACAGTAAACGTTTTGAAAATAAGAAAAAATTTCATCCACAAGTGGCAGTCGCCAAGATAAATCACCAAAGAGTAAACAGAGAGTGGGTAACACGAATTTAAACTAAAAAGGGGTACTAGAATCAGAGAGCACACTCATTCCGGATGGAAAAAGTTTCTTCTCGAATTCACTTAAATACGGTAACAATAAAAATAATGTCCCTGCCAGTAATACAAGTGCTAACAAAGAATGTACCAGCGGACGCTTTGCATATAACGCAAAACAGATTCCTTGCTGAAAAGTTTTTGCAGAAAGTTTGGAGTGGTACGAATGTTTGGGGTTGATAGAACAAAAGCTATTGCCTCCCAATACAAACGGTTGCATGCATACGAAAAGGGAGATTAAACGTTAAAGATTAAAGCAAGAAATTAAGCGCTAGAAGGTGATTTTTTCGGTGTGAAAAATCTGCAAGCTTCTTATACCAAATCGGCATAAAGTTGCGAACTTCGAATTTTATGCCCAAACCCCTAAACCAGTAATTTTGGAAATAGATTTTTTAAAGGCAGCAGGGACTAAAATCAATTTTTAAGAAGCGACGATGCAAAAACAAATACAGCCACCAGCCCTGAAGTTAACGCAGGTGAAGCTAGAAGAAAGAATGAAGCTGGAACGGATGGTAAGAAATTTTCCTGATTTTTTTGAACCAGGCTTAACGCAAATCGTAAGCCCCAGCATAGACAGAGAAAATAGCCCTCACTGTGGACCAAAGCTCTACCGCTGTCACATCCCAAAGGTGTAAAATAATAAAATTATCAATCCCATAAATAGCACTTGCGCTAGCCCCGTAGTACTATGAACAGAGAAAGATGATGTCCCATCGACGGACCATAAGGCTCCGTTCAAACAGTGGTATAAATGTCATAGAGAAACAGTCATAAAGCATACAATACGGGAGTCCATTCACACCTGCGAGAAAGGGTCTAAGCCATAGCGTTTTAGAAAAGCCAAATTTGCACATGCATGGATGTTTCTACAGCTTTTCGAACTTTATACCAAAACCCCTAAGCCAGTTTCCGCGACATAGCAAGGTCTGATTACCTAACAATGAAGATCAACTTAAGCCGGCTATGACATTTATACCACCATCCTGAAAGTAGCCTAAAGGTCTCACCGACATTTTGCGATTGATTATCCAAAACTGAATATTATAAGTAAATACACAGTTTACCCATTTCCCATAACAAAGGAAATAATTAGAAAGATTAAGTCAACGAAATATATGACCACGCTAGATATCACCTCTCAGTATTTTCAAATATGTATGAAACCAAAGGACGCCACGTTTCAAAATTGCCATGGACATCATCTTAAGACCTGTTCTTGAAAAATGCACATTTATTTACCTAGATGATATCATTGTTAACAACGAAATTATAGACGAACATATTAGAGACTTACACGAAGTGTTTTCACTTCTGAAAGAACCAGGATTAAAAATAAATGCATCATAATGCAAAACTGTTCCCCAAGAGATCTTCGTTACGTGGGTAATAAGATATCTGAGAAAGGAGGGTAAGTAGATACATAGTTAAGATTATTTTCAGCACATAGTTAAGATTATTTGTAGTTATGTAAAATATTATCATGAGCGCTGGGATAGCAGTGTCAATCAACCTGCATTTGCCTGGAGGACGACTAAGCATAATACTACCGATATTGCCAGTTACATTATTCCTTGGTAGAAAGTTAATTA